GCTCATAGCAATAACAAACTTAGTTGGTCTCTAAGGTGCTATTGGGACATGGGTGGCGCTGTGGGTTAAACCATAGAGCCTAGGACTTGCCGATCAGAAGGTCGGCGGTTCGAATCCCCGCAACGGGATGAGCTCCCATTGCTTGGTCCCTGCTCCTGCTAACCTAGCAGTTTGAAAGCACGTCAAAGTGCAAGTAGATAAATAGGCACAGCTCTGGTGTGAAGGTGATCAGAATTTCTGTGCGCTGCTCTGGTTCGCCAGAAGCGGCTTAGTCATGCTGGCCACATGACCCGGAAGCTGTACGCCGGCTCCCTCGGCCAATAAAGCGAGATGAGCGCTGCAACCCCAGAGTCGGTCATGACTGGACCTAATGGTAAAGGGTCCCTTTACCTTTACCTTTAAGGTGCTACTGGAAGGATTTTTTTAAAATTTTGATCCAAATGAATCTACTCTAGAACTTGCAACTGCTTAGGAAGTTAGGGAGCATAAAACAATATTCTGCATACATTATATCATTTAACCTTTGCAAATGTGAATGAAAATAAGGTGCAAAGATCAACAAGATGCAAGTTCCATTCTATTCCAAAATGGGCTTGTTCTATATATGCAGACCAATGTAAGTGTGTGAATGTATATAAACACACACCAAACAATAGCAGCCTCCATACTTATCCCATGTGCTCTTATTCTTCTGGGTCTAGACAGCAGAACGACTTCTGGAATGAAAGCATTAATTGCTTGCCGCAGTGTCTCCAAAATGCTTTTGATTTTTGCCTTTCACACTCTTTGAATCACTGATCCTAGAGTTAATGTTTCTTTTGCATGACATAAGAATCATGAAATATGGGAACACAGATGCAGCGACAGCTGATGTACAGATAGTTCCAACCTTACCCTGATGCTTGTGCAGAAAATGTGCCACTCATTCTGTTCAGTTCTCGCTTCTCAGTCTGTTCCTGCTTCTCTGTCTTTCATGTTTCATCATCTCATTTCCCCCAGATAATATTTCAGCTATGTGATAGACAGTTGATGAAGGTTAAAATGATCATTAGATGATTTGGTTTTTGTGGCAATAGAAAATACTTTCTTTCTCTACCCGCTTGCATAACAAATATACTCCTGTTACATGCTCGGTATTATACTGGTTTAATGTTGGTTTCCACTATTCCTATAATTTACTTAGGGATATAATCAACAGTCAGTCAGGTCGGGGGAGGGATAGAAATTAGAAGCAATGGCATCTTTTGCTCAGTCCTTTCATTCTTTACAGGCATTTTAGAAAGTATGGGTTAGAAGCATAAAATTGTAGAGTTGGAATGGACCCTGTGGATCATCTAGTGCAGGCATAGGCAAACTCGGCCCTCCTGATGTTTTGTGACGCCAACTCCCATCATCCCTAGCTAACAGGGACCAGTGGTCAGGGATGATGGGAGTTGTAGTCCCAAAACATCTGGAGGGCCGAGTTTGCCTATGCCTGATCTAGTCCAACCCCCTGCAATGCAGGAATATGCAGTTGTCCCATACAGGGATCAAACCTGCAACCTTGACATTATCAGCACCATGCTCTAACCAACTGAGCTATCCAGGCTGGTCATCCAACTAAGCTTTATTTAGAGTAGTTCAACTGAAATTAATGGACCTAAGTTAGTCATCCCAGTTAATTTCATGGGCTCTGTGCCTGAGTATGACTAACATTACACGCAACCCTTTTTATACATCTAGTTTTTTTAAAAAAATGCTTGAAATTGCCCACATTCAAAGGATTATGATGTCATTTTAACAGTAACAAGTTTCCCCAAAGAATCCTGGGAGCTGTAATTTGTTAAAGGTGCTGAGAGCTGTTAGGAGACTCCTCTTTTCCCAGAGCTACAATTCAAAGGGTACCTGGGAGGGGGGCTTGATTATTAAACTACTTTGGGAATTGTAGCTTTGGTGGGATAGGAATCTCCAAACAACTCTCAGCACCTTTCCAAACTACAGCTCCCAGATTATTGGGGGGGGGGGAGGGAAGCTATGACTATTTAAAGCAGCACCATAGTGCTTTAAATGCATCACGTGAACGTGGTCACTGTAGTGCACATCTATGTAATTGACACTTCGGTCTGTACCTCCGTCAATATTGAATTAAATTCTATAGAAATCCTGTATTCTGCTTGCCTCTGTTGTTGCTGTTTAATCTATATACAAATGTCAATCTCTCGTCACGCAGATGCAATGGTGGGATACATTTGAACCTTGCAGAAGGTTTCTTTCCAAATGAACAAACATTAAAGATGCACTGGAGGGGGGTGGGGGGGTGGAAGAATCATACTGTTCAGAAAACAACTCTAAAAAATAAAATGAAAATGTTAAAAGTGATTACAATAAACAACAGCTGACGTTGAGTCTGCAGAGAAATTAACAGTTCCTGCATATTTGAAAGAGCGGTTTTAAAGGTCAGTATCTCACTCTAGTGGCATTAGGCAAGTGTTTCTAAACTTATTTTTTTCTTTCGTTCTACTTGCATTAAGGAGTATCTGCAGAGTTTTGGTACCCATATAACGGCTGCAAAAGCTACTGTCCTATTTAATCCTGTGCTGAACATTTTTATGTCTTTTTATTTATGGTTCTCCATCAAGGAGAAAAGAAATTGCGTTTGAAAATTAACAAGGACAAGACACCATATTGGGGAAGTTGTCATGCGTTGGGTTTTGTTGTACTTGCCTTGCTTTTAAGGTGGTCGATGGGTTTGAGGGATGCCTTTCATTCTGCACATCATCTCATGGGTAGTTTGTATTCTGCAGCTTTCCCAGGTGCAGTAAAGGTTCTCATTTCTTTGTTTCTTTCATTTTTACTTTTAAATAAATCTGTACAATAAAAGGAAGGATTTCCTTTACAAACAAACAAACAAAAAATCCACGTATGTTTAAGATGTTCAGAGCAAGCTTCTCTGACTTCCTGCACCAATTAAAGCACAGGGCAAGACTTTAGGGAGCAATTCTTCCCATGGGTCTTTTTCATATTAGGACCTGTGGGTAGCTGGGAAGGAATGTTTAGTGCAAAGAAAACACACACACACCACCAGGCATAGACACCTTGCATTGCTAAGGTAAGCTCAACCCTGCTCCCCTCAAAACTCTAACGGTAATTGTAAGGTAACAGGAGGATAAGGAAGAAAACTGGAAGGTTTTGTTTTTTGCAGGGGGAGAAAACTTTTGAGAAATTGGAGAACAAGTTTTGGCACAATACTGATTGGTTTGTATTATTATACTGTATGATTGCTTTAACCATTATTATTTTTCTAGTGTTAGGGATCAATCAGCCCTTCCAGTGAGCCAGTGTGGTGTAGTGGTTAAGAGCAGTAGTCTCGTAATCTGGGGAACCGGGTTCACGTCTCCGCTCCTCCACATGCAGCTGCTGGGTGACCTTGGGCTAGTCACACTTCTTTGAAGTCTCTCAGCCCCACTCACCTCACAGAGTGTTTGTTGTGGGGGAGGAAGGGAAAGGAGAATGTTAGCCACTTTGAGACTCCTTTGAGTAGTGATAAAGCGGGATATCAAATCCAAACTCTTCTTCTTCTTCTTCCACCACAGTCCTGTGTGGGATGGGCCATTGCTGCGTTGACAGAAGGTTGGTGGGGGGTAGCTAGCAGCAGGTGCAGCACTTGGGTCTGAATCAAGCCCAATCCTTGATATATATCCATTTGTTTGCACACACTCTCACTCTCTCTTGTATTGCTGAACAAATGATTCTAACTTTCATATTGATCCAAACAATTATTTTTGTTCACTTTGGGGATTTCATCTCCCCCTCTCTCCCCCCCCTCCTTTTTCCAATGATGCCTTCCCTTCTTTGGTTTCTATTCTTCTCTTCCTGGAGTGAAATACCATATTATAATTACCTATTCTTACCATTGTGCGTGTGTCCAAAAATGGGTCATGTAAAAATCCTTGGATTTTATTACCTTTTTGTTCTACATGTCTCATAGGATTAGATAGATAGATAGATGATAAGATAGATGCAGGATTATTTCACAGTAGGGTAAAGGTCTAAATAAAAGTGTGTGTGTGTGGTGTGTTGATTCCATCCACTTACAACTTTCATTAAAAACAATACATTTGAAATCTAACAACCAGTGTTCCAAAGTCAGTTCCATTCATTTCAATGAACTTGAGTGCAGTAGCACAAACCCAGCTGCAGATCCATATATTTTTCATTCAAAGTAGCCTTAATAAGAACAGAAACACCAAGAAAATGAATATAGGTTGAGCTCTCATGAATCTTTAATTGTGTATCTTACTTTCAACAGCTTAGGGGATCATTGGGAGAAAAAGGAGAGCTTGCAGAATTCGTAAACTTTCCTCTCTATCTTCCGATTTATCAGCTCCTGGTGTACAGATTTCACTGGGCGTACACTGACTGATGCTCCTGCAGTGCTAATTATGATTCATGGTGAATAAATATATGTAAAAAAACACACACAAAAAATCAAGATTGCATTAAAAGTACGAGGCGAAGCAAATTCTGGACTCGAGTTAGATTTTATGGTAGCACACTGGTCAACATGCCCATCTAGTAAATTATTTTGGAGCACAAGTGCCATAGAATATCATTTGTACAATGCATCTCAAGTGTTCAAAGAGCTTCATGTACTACCCAGAATTCCACACAACAGCTCTGTAAAGAAGTCAGTATTATTATTTCATATAATGGGGAAGCAGTCTGGGAGAGCCATGGCTTTACTAATGCTACTCATAGTTGGGTCAGGATTTGAACAGACATGGTCTGACTCAAAGTTTATACATGTGTATTTAAAGTAGTTTATTTAAAATGCTTTTAGGCTGCTTTTCTGGGCAAAGGTCCGTCTAAAGTGACTTACAAGCAAAGAAAAACAAAGACAGTGCAAAATTTTAAAGAGAACAAAACTCAAAACTTTAAAAGTTAATACTGAAAGCAACACTTCCGCATATCTTTGGGATGTTCTCAAAACTTACAGGGTTTGGTTGGGTTTTTTTCTTTTTCCAGGAATTCAGGAAGGAAGCTTAAAAACTAGACACACGTAGTTTTTGCAAAGCTCTCTTTGGGAGGAGAAAACCATACCCTTTGCTTTTGCGAAGGGGTTAATGACTGGGGAAAGGGCCCCCAGTCAGAGCTGACACCAGATAGATAGATAGATAGATAGATGATAGATAGATAGATAGATAGATAGATAGATGATAGATAGATAGATGATAGATAGATAGATGATAGATGATAGATAGATGATAGACGATAGTTGATAGATGATAGATGATAGATAGATAGATAGATGATAGATGATACAGTAGATAGATAGATAGATAGATGATAGATAGATAGATAGATAGATGATAGATAGATAGATATAGATGATAACTAGATAGCTGGATTGATAGATGATAGATAGCTAGACAGATGACAGATAGATGTGAGGCTTAACACAGTGTCTACCCAGACTATACTGTAGATATAAGAAATCAATAAATGTTATATATCTGCAGGCTAGGGCATTACATTTTGGGAAGCTTAAAATGGTAGGCAACCACCACAGATGAGAGCTGAGCTAGGCTCCCTTTCAAAAGCAACTCTACTACTGTCCACCACTGAAAAGCATCCGGGGAGAAAAGTGGATGGCAATAAATGACAGCAGGGCTGGGCTGGGCTGGTGAGGATCCCTTCCAATCCTGGGGATCCTTACCCAGTGCCTGTCATGCCCAGCCAGTGATAGCCAGTGCTACTTCAGAAGAAGTGCAACCCTATCCAGAGCAGGTAACTTGCCAGTTTCTTGACCATGGGAACCACTCACCTAAAGAGCCTTTGTCTTCCCAGGATTTAAACACAGTTTATTGGCCCTCAACTACTCCACCAGTCCATCTAGTCTATCAGGACATCATTCCTAGCTTTTTTTGGGTGGATGGAGTGAAGACATTTAATCCTTCTGAATGTATTACTTTTGCCCTGTAACATTTGATGCAGCCCTGCCTTTTGGGTACAAAAATGTGTTGAGTAAATGCAAATACACACAATATTGCTGTAAGTGCGTAGATGAAATAATTAAGTTGTTGGGGTTTTTCTTATTTTTTCTTAACCCTTTGTTATATCGCTGCTTTTTTTTTACATTTGCATATGGATCAAGAAGTAATTCCCAAATTGCCCCATGTTTTGAATCCGGTAGCAAGAATTATTTCTCCATTACCTGGCATCCTAGCCCACTGTATTGTAGCCCAGGCTCCAAAGTCTCCTGCTAATCTAGATATGAATGTTCCTTAAAAAAGGATGAGGGCAGTACTGGGCAAACTCTGAGTAAAAGTAGTTTCCTATGAAAAGGAAGCAGGACCCTCCCCCCAAAAAAACCCCTTGAGTTTCTGTTTGCTCAAGTAGGTTTCAAGGCTTTTACGAGCTCTGAAATGATTTTGTTTTAGTCAGTGCATAACATCCCAAAATAGCCACTTCCTTACTGGTTTGTAGGCTCTCCAGCCCCGGAAAAGCCCACCTTTTAAATCAAGTATCATCAGACAGATTTCAAAGATACACATCTTTTTTTCTTTTTAAAATCAAACCTTTCAGGATTGAACAAATAGTGTGATATGAATGAAGCAATATCTTACAAGTCAAAGAGAGATTGCCATAGAAAAGATCTGTGAACCCCCAATCAGAGCTGGGTAAGGCCTAAGTGACCTTATGTACCAGAGCCGGGTAATCACCTCTTCCTGGGAACAAGGTTGATTAGCTTTGAAATTGAGATTCCAGGAGGGAAGACAGACAGACAATTCACTATACCTTTTCTGGAGCAGCTTGGTACATGGCGAAAATGGAGTGACGGACCCCTAACTAAATGTGGCAGACCACACCACCCAAAGGAATTGAAAGACACAGAGGGACTTGCTAGGTATGATTTCCTTTTGAAATTGCACTGGCACCCTAAATGGGAGTTTGGCTCATTGTGAAAAATGGCATTAGCTCCATCAAGGAAATGCAGGGTCATTGAAGAGGAGTTTGAAGTGACTAAGACACCTTAAGACATCGCCTCGTAAAATAGTCAGGAAAGGCACAAAGACAAGGCCACACTGCTGTTGATTTTCAGTCATCCTGTGGTAATTTATTATTTACAGATTGTGTAAGGTGCTGGGTATTGATTGGTTCAGGCTAGGGAAAGCAATGGCTATGAGTGAGTTTTGCTTAGGTGAGCACATTTCAGAGTTCCACACAGTATTTTATGTAATTTTTAATGATGCATCAGCAAGACCTAGATTTTTTTTCCCCCAGCAATGCCTCAGAAACCTCAGCATTATTATGTTGCCTAAAGAGCACAGTATGCTGTCCAGGAATGAGAAAGATTTATAGATAAAAGAACGTTAGCTCTGTCCGTGCGTTGCAGAGCTGTATGTTGCTGGTCACACCTGGACAGAGATTTTCTGGGTTAAGGTTTAGCTTAGACCTCTATAAAATGTACAACATTATATGGTGAGATAAATCATAAGGGTGGGATTGGATGGGAAATCAGTAGGGAATTAAGAATGGTCTACTCCAGTAGTTATTTATTTATTTATTTTAGAGTGCTTTATTGTTCATTTTCATCAATATACAACACATAGCCATCTTCACCTCGATCAGTCTGATGATATCAGTGTTCACAAAAGATACTTGCAATTTCAACTGTGTGACTTCCTGTCCTCTCCATATCTCCTTTTATATTAAACATCTTACTTTGATTTATGATTATTGTTTTACATAGATTTTCTTTTCTATTTCAATAACATTTCCCATCAAGTATATTATTTACAGAAATCATTCAAAGGCAGTTACCGTGTTTAGATCACAAGTATTTTTTAAGTAATTCTTAAATTTATCTCATTTTAGAATGAACTCCTGTCTAGACTTATTTCTAATTCTTTCCGATTCTATTTCTAATTCCGCATATTCTGTCAGTTTAAGTAGCCATTCAGCCCTGGTAGGAAGTTTGTCATTTTTCCAATATGTCGTGATAAGCACCCTCAGGGCTGCAGTTGCATACAAAAACATTTTCCTTTTACCCTTGTAATACCCAGAAGGAAAACTTCAGCTTTTTAGGGAAGTTTACCTTTAACATTATTTTTAATTCTAAATGTATATCATTCCAAAACCCTTTGACCTTCTTACATGTCCACCATATATGAAACATGGTACCTTTTGTTTCACCGTATCTCCAACAGACATCTGGTATGTGTTTGTACGTTTTGGAAAGTTTATGCGGCGTCAGGTACCAATGGTACAACATTTTTTGTAGGTTTTCCCTTATGGAGTAACAGGCAGTAACTCCAGTAGTTTTCAGTCTTTTTGAGCCCACGGCACCCTTGACTAACCATATTCTTTTTGTGGCTCCCCTGTGGAAGCCACTTACACTGGAGTTCCATTGCAGGGTGTGTGTAAATAGGGATTCCCCTGTCCCGTCCTGCTCCTTTTGGCACAGTTTTTTTGCACACGTGCAAGTGAGAAATGCATATGTGGACTGCACACATATGGGGATCCCCTGTATCTGGTAAAAACTTGTGTCGTTAGCAGTTTTGCCAGTGCGGTGTAGTGGTTAAGAGCAGTAGACTCGTAATCTGGGGAATCGGGTTCGTGTCTCCGCTCCTCCACATGCAGCTGCTGGGTGACCTTGGGCCAGTCACACTTCTCTGAAGTCTCTCAGCCCCACTCACCTCACAGAGTGTTTGTTGTGAGGGAGGAAGGGAAAGGAGAATGTTAGCCACTTTGAGACTCCTTAGGGTAGTGATAAAGCAGGATATCAAATCCAAAACTCTTCTCTTCTTCTATCATTTTTAAGGCTCAAAAAATGTTAAGGCTTAAAATTTAAACAGTAAAGAATGCCATCAGTGTTGACACCTGCTTTGATTTATTTCACAGTTTTGTATATATATATATATTTGAATCCAAATTTTTTATTTATTGCAAGATCTTTTGTTGGGCAGCATGCAAATAATGGCAGCAAATAAGCATATTGGTGACACTTCAAATATCCAGATAACCCTACTCGGCAGCTTCATGTAGATATTAAACAGCATGGAGGATAATATTGATCCCTATGAAATACCGCATTGAAGGCTCCACAAGGTAAACAAAATCCTCGAAACACCACTCTCTGGAGGCAGCAATCCAAATAAAACTGGAACCATCACAAAGCAGTGCCACCCTGTTCCAATTCAGACAACCACTTCCAGTGGATGCTATGATTGATAGTATGATGGAAAGTTGCTGAGAGATCAACAGGATCATTCTGAACCATCGTTCTCCCAACAGATGTTATCAAACAGGGCTATCAAGGCAGTTTCCATGCCAAAATTGGCCATAACCCCTGACTGAAATGGATCTAGATTCTTTTTTCTTTTCTTTTTATCATCCAAGAGAGCCTAATTATCCTGTTGATTTTCTGACTGTGATTTTATGTGATGGATTTGTTTTAATAATGGTGTTTTTTTTTGTATTCTGATTTTTATTTGTAATATTGCATGGTATTTGTAAACTGCTTAGCAATACATTTTTTGGGGGAAAAGTTTAAGTGGTATAAATGATCTAAATAAAGAAATAGAAGGACTTCTGATGTTTCAGTGGATCTTTGTTATGCATGCAAGTAAGATGGCTGACCAACTGCCACAAACTGGCAAGTCACAGAGTAGAGGGAGCCAATATGGTTCCCTTCAGAAGTTCTGGACTGCAGCACACACCATCTCAAACCATTGGCAGTACTGGCTGGGGCTTATGGGATTTGGAGTCCAACAAGATATTGAGAGCACCACACTGACTGCCCCTCACACTGACTACACCTGTCATAGAGTGTAGAATTGCTGCCAAATTTCACCTAGCATGACATCTGAAGTGAATGTGGAGAATTCTCCCCTTTTCTACAAATAGAAAAGGACAATAAACGTCAAAAGAATGTTGACATGGTCCACTAGTTTTGTCTATGTATATGATTTTTAAAAGCTTTAAATGGAAACCAAAGCCAAATGGAAAACAAGCTCATGCACAAATATGGAATATTACCTCCGCACATAAACCATACTTGTCTTGGGTAGAACTCAACTGACAATTTCCAAAGCCCTCTTGAAATTTTGCTCTGTGGAGCATCAGAGATGCTCCAGGTGTTGGGAGATTCTGGACAGTGTGAGAGGAGGTGCAGCGGAGGGGAGGAGATATTTTAAACTCGATTCCTCACCCTTCAGGTTCATCCAGAGTTAGCAGAGTGGGGAGGGGAGGGCAGGCAATCAAAATTATGGTTTTAAAAATTTGTGGAAGTTTTTCTTCTTCTTTCTGCTGTTATATTTGAAAATTTAATAAATTGTTATTTAAAAAACCCACAGAGTTAGCACAGTGGGAGCTTCCTCAAAATTGGGAGTCCCATCTGTTGACATATAAGCCCTTCCTTTCCCAGAAGGATATATCTGGACACATCCCATTAAAGTTTAAATGGTAGCAGATGTATGATTAAATGCATTACTCCTCAACATGTCTCTGATGCAGCCACATAACTTGTTCATATTCACACAATAACACAGGGTGAGGGAAAAGTTAATCTAGGTTGAAGGTCACTCAAATTCAAATCTGCAAGGAAAAACCCGGTTGTGCATCTCGTGACTTGTCATTTGTACAACCGAGGTCTCTTTGCGCCTGTTCAGTAGGTAAAAGAAGCGTTCAGGTTAATAGAAATGGAATTAATATTTACCCGAAGTCTACTTTGCACTCTGTGCCAGAGTGATTTAGAAGGGCCTGACTGTGTGGAAATTCAGAATCCATGCACCATATTTTCACGTTCCAATTAGGAGGACAAGCTGGACAAAACAATGCTCTGTTAGGAAGGCTTGCCAAGTCACAACATATCAGTGCACTATACACGTCAATCTTGCAGCTGTGTTCCACAGATATCCTCCTGACACCTGGTAATGCTGAATTTTACGTCTTAATTACAATGTGGCTTGAACACAGAGAAGCAGCATGGTGACTAGCAAAGTGCCTTGTAGAAGCTGGTCAGGCACACAAATACCTTTACAGTAGATTGCCCAAAGTAGCCAAAAATATATTGCAATATCCTTGACATAAGAGGAAAGGCGAAAGGCCATTTGTCTTTCTGCACGCTGGCAAAGAAAATCCTTGGTATTCAATGTCAAGCACAACCTTGCTAAAAGATAATTTGATAGAATGAAACAGGACCAAATTCTTCCTATCACCAGCAATGGCATGATACACTGGAACGGTGGACCCTGTAGTGAAAAGTATTGTTTAGAAACTGGGTGTATTAACATAGTATTTCTGTTAAAAATGATGCAGGCACTTTAGAATGATAGGTTATATTTCTGGACTTTTACATTTCTGTTAAAAACCACCAAAGTTTCCAGTACACACAAACACACACACACACACACACACACACACACACACACAGAGAGAGAGAGACAGTCAGCACTATGGCACAAATCTCTCACCCGTTCAAGTGCATGCTGGTATATGTCCTTTGTGCAACAAACTGCACCTTCATAAGCCACCTTCCAGAAAGTAGGTGCATTGCAATAATCAGGAATAGTGCTACAGCATTCTTGCTGGCTTTTACAGTATGGAGAGCAGTGGGGGAAACCACTAGAATCTGTGGGATAGGTCCCACTTGATGGCAACGGTGCATAATGCCCCCACAAATTTTGTGCTAATAAAACAGGACAAAAGTTGAACAAACTGATTATCTAGAAGTGATTCCAGAGTTAAAAAACGTCATCCCGGCAAAGTCAAACACTTACCCTTGCCTAAGTAAATGTTAAGACTCATAGCAGGATGCAGAAAAACAGCAACATTATGTATATATTTTTATTTATTCATACTAAAAAAATATATGTCTTGCTTGGCTTTCTAAGAGAGATGCTTGAAGTGGCTAATGGTATACAAGGAACATCAAAAGAACAATGAACTGTATCAATGAAATAATAAAATAACTAGGTCAAAAACAGCTTAAATGGAAGCATGAGTCTTACGGTTAAAGCATTTGATTTTCTTCACCACAGGCCAAGAATTTGTCAGCAATCCCATTTCTATCACTCATTCTTATACAAGGACATAGGAGTTGTTGTTTTCAAAAAATGCTCCAGTAATATAGTCTTCTTCAGTCCATAGTAGGATAATCTTTCTTCATATGGGCAAAATGATAATGTGTACACAAGCTCTGGGAGGGCATTCTTCATGCTAAGGACAATTACCCTTAAAGTAGCAACACTCCAAGTCCTATCTGGAGATGGAAGGGAGAGATCCTGGGACCTTCGGCATGCAAAGCAGATTCTCTGCCACTGAGTTAAAAGGGGCCTCTGTATACATATAGCTGTGCTCATGTAGGAGTCCCCTTAATACTTTCAGCTGAATGTAAGAGCGACAGTCCAGTGGGAGTGCTGCAGAGCAGATCTCACAACAGCAGCAGCACTGCCACTTGCCCAAGTGGAGTTGGGGGAGATCAGGGCAGTGTGAGTGCTGGATTGGCTCCACTGATATGGTTGTCCCACCTTGACCTAGCTGCTACCCCGCCCCATCCTGCATTATCTTGGCAAGCAGTCAGCATGTGGCTGTCAGGAGGCTGGTATTGGCCCCCCTCCACCAGCCACACCCGGTTGACTTAGCAAACACTCGGTATATTCACTTATTTATTTAAAATCCTTATCGATCACACTTCATCTGCAGAGATACCAGGGTGATAGGGATGGGAAGGAAATTTGATTTTGTTTTCATTTTAATAAAGATCTAGCTATAATTCACAATCTCTAGCCAATACACGAACCGAGCCAGAGCTATGCTTCAGAATTGGCAGTTCTCTGGATTTTGTGTGATGCTGCTCTCCAACTAAAACAATGCGTACAAAAATGCACGTATGAGAGGAAACTGTAACTAATATGCATACATTCGTGAAAAGAATATGTGTATTTTGATTCGGTGTCAAAAAGATTGTAATGATACTGTCATTCATGCCCATATTCTGCAGATGGGGTACTGCTACAGAAAAAGCTCCATCCTTTGTTGCCACATATTGAAGTTCCCCTGGCAATGGTTATGAATAAAAGCCTCCTCTGAAGATCAGAGATGTTCGTTATTCAGTCTATGTTGGATTGAAGTTATGAAAAGGGCTACTATAAAACTGCGCTAAAGTTACTGGAGGATTAAAAAACCAAAACCAAAACCTAAGTTACTCTGTGACAAAATGGAAGTCTGTGCAACAAGTCTTTCGCTTAACCTTTCTTCCAGTTGCTTACCATAGACAGATTGACACTTGTCAGTTTTGATTGTTGCTTTCTCTTTCACAGCAAGGGCAAGGTTGAAGGTCTGCTACCTTATTACTCATCTTTTGGCTCAGAGATACAAGCACCAAACCCCTCACTCACTCCAACTCCATCCCCTTCTGCTTCTGAAGATAAATAGAAAATAGAGAGGACCAAGAATAGCCTTTGTGGTTCTTTCAGAGCAAAAGACAGGACACAAATGAAGACCTTACACTTTTGATTGAACTGAAAAAAGAATAGGAGAAGGTACATTTCTAGGCAAGAGGTAGATGAATAGCTTTGCAAACCCTGGAAGCCAAGCTTTAAAAATAAATTATAGAACCATTAACTTTAAATATGGATGTAAGGTATTCAGTGGGCATTGTAGGAGAAGATTTGAATAGGCAGTCATGGTGCGTGTAGTGGCCACCTATTGCAGGATAATTCTCTGAAGTGTTTTGAGGATAATGGATGTAAATTAGGGGTGGGTGGGATAAATCGTGATTGGGTGGTATAGCAGGATGTTGAATTTTTGAGATGAAACTGATTGTTCTCTTCCCAATTTCCTAGAAAATTATGTGCTTTCTTGTCGCACAAAGGATTAAACCATGTGTGTGCATATGTTTATAGCAGTTTACAGTAGGATCAACAACTAACGGGGTGAGCACCACTATCAAACACTTCCTGAACAATGAAAAATTGTTTGCCAGATTTAAACTATGTTGTATGTTGGAACCTTTTAGTAAGATAGAGCGATTAGGAAGGGATATTTTAAAATGCAGAGCATGAGGCCCTGCGTCTGCTGCTGCTGGAACAAATTATAACGATTCTCAGTTCAGGTTCTTTCATCTGAATATAAATGTACCATTAGCTCTGTCATAAGAACTACTGAATGAATGTGGTTGCAGCAGTAAGATCCAAGCCGGATAGATGCAAAATTCCATCTGCTGTTTAAGTGCCCTAGCCTGGCAGAGGGTGGTGGTTTTCCTGCAAAGCATTGACATATGGCAGTGGTTACAAACAAGGCAATGTGTTGAGAGAGCAGTTAGTACTGATTTTCTTACTATTCCTACAAGTCATGTAAAAGACAGCTTCGTGCTAAAATGCCATTCGATTTACCCATCTGCTGTGCCCAAGACTTTTGAAATACAGCCATGGTCCTCTAGCCATGTATATTTGTACAATACTTAGCAGTATGGCTTTGAAACCTGTTTGATCTTTGGATATTGTTAGTTCAAACAGATAAAGACATGAATTCATATTTACTTTTAAAAAACAAAAAAAGCTCAGCTGTAGATGCAACATACTGGCCTACAAACCTGAGCCTAAGCAAATTTCTGTGATGTCGACAAGATACATTCTATGCAAACAGGGCATTCATAACAAGAAGTATAAGAAAGTCTATGGACAAAAAGGAATTAGAATTACTAAGAATTAAATACGTGTCTCTGTTTCAGTGGGAAATAGTTTTGCATGTGATTCACTGTGATGTCTCTCAGTGTTAATCATGTATGATGAAGGTCTGACTCTGCCCACAACTTGAATGCACCCTCCCATATGGTTCCCCTTTCAGTCAATGTGGCCCTCAGTCCCAAAATGGTTCCCCAACCCTGTTGTAAAGGGATGGTGGCCAGCTGATGTGAAGTAGACTCATAAATAATTATTCCTGGGGAATTTCTGTATGGTTGGAACACTAAAGGAAGAGAATGCAAAATATGGTATAAAACATTGAAACAGGGATAGAAGGAAAAGTGCATATTTCTCTGTTGTAATGCTCAATGAATAATATTCCAAGAGAAAACAGGTTGAAATACATTTTCAGATGTGCAAGATGAATATGGTGAACATGTGTGTGTATGTGCAGCCCAACATCCAATGCACATGCATTTAATATAGTAATTTGCCAGTAGTTGAAGCATAGGGCTTGCCACTACAATCCTACTTTAGTGTACTGACACTAAACATTCTGAAAAGGACTTGTGTTCCTACTGAGTGCTACTCACCTCCTTCTGTGACCAATAGCCCACTGCTTTCCCTACAAAACTGAAGGAATAGGCCAAAGGGAAAAAATAACAACCTGGATTGATGTTGTCTATATGGTTTGCCTCCTTCTTCCTCAATCACTGCTCGCAAGAGGTGTGATACAACCGCACTCCCTCTTGAGCCTGACTCTTTCAGACAGTCTTCTTCTCCAAATTGCATTTTGTCGACCCTAAATTTAAGTGCCTGGCCAAATTGCTGAGCTCCCTACATTTCTTAGATGGCCATCCAATCCTATACATATATTTACTTCCATACATAGATTTAGTCTGTCCATGGCAATTCCCACCCCATCCCCTGCAGTGGAATGCAATTACAAGTTATAATCTCTAGTAGAGGGGAAAATTATTGCTTGGGAAAATAATGGCTTTTTACTGGACTGATGCCTAAATGTCATTGTCAATATTTGTTTAAAATTACACAGCTAAATTAGCTTGCTAAATGAATTGGTGTAATTTACCTGCCTTATAAAACATGCTTCATAAATCACATGCTTCTAATGCAGGGATGCTCGATGCAGAGATGCTCAAACACTGTATTAACTATCATTAAATGGTTTTCTAGCTTACCATTCCTCAAAACCACACTTTATATGAATCGTTGATCATCACCACAGAAGACAGTGTCCTACAGTTGTTTCTGGACTTTCATAGGATAGAGATACATTTATATGAATAATAGCCTATTAATTTTGTTTAAAATATGAAATGATATCTAAATGAACATTTAAGAATGAAAAAAGATCCCCAGTACCCCTTAGGAAATGTAGTAGCAAATGGCTATTGAAGTAAATATTTCAAGTGCCAGAAACATACTCTGAATATGAGCTTCAGAGTACCTCTGCTTACAATATCCTATACAAATATACAAATATTCTACCAGTTACATCATCAGGGTGAACTCCTAAGCACACTTAGTAAAAAGGAATACCCATTAAGTTCAGTAGGCCTAGCATCTTTATCATGGAACAATATCATATTATTTTCAACATTGTAGACAGATCATTTGCACTGAGAACCAGCAATGGGACACATTGACAAAAAATTAGTAAATATAGTTAACTATTTCACCAGAAGTAATAATCACTGCTGAGGAATCCACTTTATACTTCTGTGCTCATTTTTCCACTAAACTAGTTCAGCAGAAATGGGATTTTTTTCCCCTTTATCAATTCAATTATGAAACAAGTTTGATAAAAAGTTCATGAATCCTGCCCAAAGGTATCACTTTAATGTTAGCTCCTCAAAACCATCTAGCGTATCTAAATCTTCCTGACATTTTATACCATAACCTGCAGTATATGACAAGACCTTCAAATGAGATACAATGATATATCTTTGAACTCTGTCTAGATTTTACATGAATATAGGGTAACTCTGATTAACTATGAAACATTGCTGACAGATCCCTCTAAAGCACTGAGAGAGAGTGAAAAGGAGAAGCAACAAAGCTATTGAAGAGTAACTCCCAAGGAGAAGCAGATTTAATAGACAATCTTCCAGGCCTACCTAGATATACTAAACTGCAATTTCAAACATTCCAGTAAAACATAATTCGATATAAAACCATAACTTGTCCAATTTCCCTCAAGTGGGATGGTGTTGTCACTTGCATGGCACATGTCCTTATGGATATTGGAAAAGCAGACGAGCTCTGTTAGAAAGAAGTTTGCCTGACTCATCCAAAGCTCTCAACTCTACAGCTACCAAATTGCTTTGCCTTAAGAGAGAATATTATGAAAATGATATACAGGTGGTACATGACACCAGTCAAGCTTGCAAAAATCTACCATTTGCCTGATAATAAATGTTGGAAATGTAAAGAAAATGAAGGTACATTCTTTCACCTTTGGTGGACGTGCCCAAGGATCAAGGCTTTCTGGGAGATGATATATAACGAATTGAAAAAGGTATTTAAATATACCTTCTTGAAGAAACCAGAGGCCTTTCTCCTGGGCATAGTCAGCCAATTGGTGCCAAAGAAGGACAGAACTTTTTTTATGTATGCTACTACAGCAGCAAGAATTCTCATTGCAAAGTATTGGAAGACACAAGATCTACCCACCTTGGAAGAATGGCAGATGAAGGTGATGGACTATATGGAATTGGCGGAAATGACTGGCAGAATCCGAGACCAGGGAGAAGAGTCGATGGAAGAAGATTGGAAAAAGTTTAAAGACTATTTACAGAAATATTGCAAAATTAATGAATGTCAGAATGATGTCGGATAGAAACTAAGTGGTCTTTAGCTGAAATGTTATAAGGGAATATGAAAAAAAAATGGTTCATTAATAGGTAAAAATTTAAAATTACAAATACTTTATGATTAACGATTAGGATACATAAAGAGGGGAGGGATTTGTTGAACTAATAACTGAATTGGAATACAAAAAAGGGAGGTGTGAGGAGGTCCTGGAAATAAGCAAATGAAGGCTAAGTAACAGAAGGAAGGAATTGTTTTTAACTGTTTTTATTTTGTATTTTTCTTTTTTCTTTTTTTGTCTTGTAATATTCTGAAAACCTTAATAAATATCTTATAAAAAAAAACAAATTGCTTTCCTGTGGTCTAGCTTGTATGGCTAGATTTGTGGAAATCTGTCATATGGATGACTCCACTAGCACAGAGGAATGCGCCAAATTCCAAAGCCATCTCACCTGATTTCATCTGGTCTGTCATGAATCAGATTGGATCACGGCACCTCTTTTGAATCTACAGACCTGCAGATCACTTTACAAGGCACTTCAAGGGCTACAGTGTGGCCTGGTCTCTCTCTTTTACTTTTTTTTTTTAAAAAAGGTACTGTTTTAATACTTTTTCAAAGCCTGTAGTTCTCCCAACACCTCCCTCTTGTGCATGGGTGCTGCTATTTTGGCCACATACATATGAAGTTCAGCCTATTATAATTGCTTCAGGTTTGTGGGTTTTAGGCATCCTCAATTCCTCAGTCTAATAGGTGTTAGAATTTAATCAATGTTTGGAGTGTTAAAAACAAAATATGGCCAGGTCTATGTATATTAGACTTATGTGTATTAGGACAGACCAGGGTGTATTAAGCTGTGTGTTATATACTTCTAAATTAGCATGGGTAAAGGGTCAATTAAGTCAGGCTGATCTCCTGTATGAAGTGATAGCCTGGAGATGAGCCATTAGGAAGAGAAAAGCTTTAAATAAAGTGAGTGAGATGGCAAAGGGCCCTCTCCCTCAACAGAAAAGCTAGAGATCAGAGAGGTTAAAAAGAAAGAGGCAATGTGGGCTGGGAACGTAGAGTGTGAGGTTAGGATTGAGGTAACACAGCAGGCTGGAGGGAGAGACAGAGAACACAATGACAGATACCTGTTTAAATCTAGGGCTGCAGCAATGGCAGAAGTAGGGCCCTTTTGGTGTGTAATGTGGCGAACCCCTCCATCATAGGCTGGAACCACTGGAATCTTGCCCTGCTCAGAGTTTGGGGTGGTGTCTCACAGTATAGGATGATGTCTGACTGTTACCATGCTTCCTCCAAGAATGTCCCAATAATGATGCCAGTGCAAATTCTAGAGCACTCTGGGAAGGGAGGGATATAGCAGTAGCCAAAAGTCCACTTCAGCTGCTGCTGTCAAAGCTGCCAGTAACTTTTAAAGTTTAGAAAGAAAGAAAGAAAGAAAGAAAGAAAGAAAGAAAGAAATGGTCACCAAAATGCCCCCTCCCACAATTCACCACCTGCAAACAAGTTATAAATTGAGAAGAGCTGATTCATTTTCATCCTAGACCAAACATGTCACAGCAGATTTGTGAAAAGCGTCTCTTGTGTGGATCTGGACCCTGCTGCTTGCGAATAGCCCTTACCCCTGTACCATTCTCTGGTAAAACCACAAGAAGACAGTGCTTGCCGTGCTGGGCAAAACTTTACAGGTACAGTCTTATATGGCAGGAATACCAGTGTGGTGGAGCTTTCAGGTAAAAAACAGCAAGCGGGTAAGGATTATCTCCTCTTTCAGCACTATCGGGCCGTACAAATTGTGCCCAGTAAGAGGCAATTCAATTACAAGCCAAATATGGACTAAGTCCCATTAACCAAAATGGGACTTCGTTCTGAAGCAGATTGGTGGTTAGATGGTAGGGGAGGAAACTGTTTTTAATGCTTAGCTTTAAAAAAAGCAAAAGTTTCTTCTTTCCAATATATATGGAAAGCAACTTGACATGAACAGAAGAAGGAGAATTCTCTATAGCTGTATCATCTATATCCCTATATCTATATCCATAACTATATCTATATCTATACCTATATCTATATACAGTATCCCATATGTAATTCATCCCCAGGGAAACCTGATCCTGGAGGTAAGTGACAAAATGACCAAAATAAACATTCTCAGTAAACTATCAAAAGGTAGGGCTATGAAACATGCCCCCCATACAACCTAAAATGGTCTTCCTGTGAGAAAGTATACAAGCACTTGATAGATTTATACTAGTACCTAATCCTTCACTTATTTGTACTAACCCTCCCCCCAAGTAATCTTGATAGCCCTATCATTTGAAAGGGAAGTTTATTGTGACTTAGCAACAACCTGTGATTTATGAACTTTTCTGAATAGGATTTACAAGTTAATTGTGTACCATTAAGAAACAGCTGCTTTTACTGGGTCTGTCTGAGGTCAGGGGGACTATAGAGTGTAAGTGGCTCTGTTTGCCCATCTCCAGTAAATTGCTTGCGAATGACTTCGTAAAGCAGAATTGCTTTAAAACAGACAGTTGCAATTGCTTTCCTAGAGTTGAAAGCTGTTAGCAAACCACAGAGGTTATGTAATGCATGTAAAGCAATTCCTGGGTGAACAGACATAAATTCTTGTGGCACCTTTGCAGAGCATTGAACTGTTTTTCATACTTATTGTAATCCTTTATGAAAACTACCAGGAAAACAGAGATCAGCATTACAGTCCCGAGGTTCGTTCAGCATATGCATATATTTATTTAGATTTCCAGCCCACGCTATTCTAAAAATGAAATGAAAAGAGGAAAACCAACCTCTGTGTCTCTGTGTACTTGTACAATTTACATTTGTGGATATATTTACATTATATTTTTGGTTTTGGTTTTGGGTTTTTTTTAAAAAAACGAAACAAT